CTTTAAAGCTTGTATCAGACCAGGCTGCAAATAGACTTTAAATATTCAGAAATCAATGCCYAATATTTTCATATTTTCTTGCATTTTTGACTCGGCGACTAGTGAGATGCTAACTGTAAGACCCTGTCACTGGCTTARTTCTAGGGCTGACATTATACGCGTTTCCTATTAGTTGAAAATGATATTTAATGATTAGTTTTTTTCTTTACTTATTAGAAATAAGAACCAGGAGAACAAAGCCAAACTGATGATTTGACATTTCCTCTTTTAGCCACAATTTCCTCTCGAGCTGTTGCCTCATTTTCTCCTTTCACTTGATATTGTTCTGTTTGATTTTGAGGTGAAACATGAAACCACTGCATGTTACTCAGCAGGTTGTTGAGTTTACCAAAGWGTGAGTCAGATGATGGGCCATTAGAGATCGAGCGGGTAAAGCCTTTTCTACATCCCCCAGAATGCCGTGCGGTTCTGGGTTAGAGTTCAGTGAAACTATCAACACTTTATAACGATATAGTTATTGTTTTATCGCCCAGCTCTACTTTCTTCCCTCCATCACAGATCAGACTTCAGCTCCCCCTCACAGTTTGGGACCATTACTGTTTTCCTCTTGTGTTTCATCTCATTTATTGTAATTAATATGAAAATGTCACTTAATGATTTTTCTTTCTCTCCTAACAACTGCCAGAGCCGACCACATTGGCTTTCCCCATCCTAAAGCACACATTGATCATTTTACAAAGCAGTTTATAGGATGGCAAGGATCTGAAAAATGGCTGATATTAAATAAACAAAGTGGTCACAGTGTTGAGTTTTCCAAGATGAAACTTCGCTGCGGTTTTATTTTCTCATTGCAAGGGTCCTTTCGAGTTTTGTGTCACATAAGGGGCAAGAGTCTATGAAATACATTTTTATCTGTTCCAACACTTCGGTCCGGAGGGCAGAAATACAAATACCATAAGGTGAGTCGCAGTGATGAAGAGAAATCCTTTGAAATGTTTGAACTCTTGATGTTTTGCGTCAGAACAGTCGTAAGTTTTATTTGACACTTTTCTGTCAAACATCTAAATCTTGAGCAGATGTTTATATTAAAGCATTGTAATTACAAAGCGTGCCTCTACTTTAAAAAAACTTACAATAAATTGTCTGAATTTCTAAGTTCTGCTCTTTTCGGTCAGCCAAAGGAAACAGACCTGTGGCCTGTCGAGGGCACAAGTTGCTAAAATCCAATACTCACCTTTCTTGTTCTGCCTCAGAGGTTTTTAACTCAGTTTGTGGATTTATTGAATCTTCATTTCATTGTAAATTATGCTCATTTAATATCTGTTTAAGAGTTTCACTGGAACAAAGCAGGGCTGCCACGATTAGCCGACTAGTCACGATTATTGTCGACTATTAAAATCGTCGACTAATTTAATATTTGATTCGTCGTTTTTTTTCTAACTTTGTTTTTCTCTCCAAACTGCTGCAGCACCTTCTACTGCGACGTCTGCCTTTCTGTCCTTGACACACAAGTAGAGTGGTATTTAGGGCTGCCGCAAATGATTAGTTTTACAGTCGATTAATCGGTGATTAGTCGACTATAAAAAAGTACAAAGTTAGAAAAAAATGACTCGTCGACTATTAAATTAGTCGTTAATGATTTTAATAGTTGACATAATCGTGACTAGTCGACTAATCGTGGCAGCCCTAAACTTGATCAGTTTATATAAATCCATCTTCTAGAAAAATCCCACATATTTTTGTTTTTCTGTTTTTCCTTCTGTTTTCTGCTGGAGTCATTTTTATCGGCTGTTTTAACTTGTCAGAACTGTGTTCGGTGTTCCGCCTCAGGCAGAAAGTGTCACCTGGACTGTAGACGTGGTGAACGTTCACACAACTAAAAGAAACTAATTTGTTTTTGAGGACTTCAGTTACCTCATTTGGGAAGTGCAGATTCTTGGAACAAATAGGGGAGTTGAAAGAGGAAATTTGTGTAAACCTTAATTATCCTCATCACCTGCTTGTGTCTTATACTGTTTTTAACCTTTTCATTATATTCATGGTTTTAATTGTATGTTTTTTTTCCCAATTTGTGAAGCACTTTGGTCAAAACTATTGTTTTTAAAAGTGCTATATAAATAAATAAATTGATTGATTGATTGATTGACCTGCCACCAGAAGKTAAATAATAGACAATGTTGTCAGTTTTTACCTTAAAATAAAATAAAAAACACAATAAACTTTAATGAAAGTCTAATAAAGTAATGGTTGCATCCAGAACCGATCAATGAGTGGAGTCAGCTTGATTGAAAACGGCCATCATATAAGATACTGTAGATAAATATAAGATAAATATGGATTTCTTGAAAATGCATGCCAACACTTTTTTTTTTAACCATTGTTTCATCATTTGCATAATTTATGTATTGTGCAGTCTATTTTCCCTGATGCCTGGAAGTTTGYTMARATTACTCCCATTTTTAAATCTGGTGATCCAACAGAAGTTTCAAACTATCGGCCAATTTCTGTTCTTCCTATTTTTTCTAAGTTACTTGAAAAAACATTATTTAATCAACTACTTCAGCATCTAGAAGCTAATAATATGCTAAGCAATAGCCAACATGGTTTTCGCACGTCAAGGTCAACCATGTCTGTATTAATTTTATTCACTGAACAAATACGCGCTGCTTTGAACAAAGGTCATGTAACTGGTGCTGTATATATTGATTTTCATAAAGCRTTTGACACAGTTGATCATTATACTCTCTTACAAAAGTTGATTTCTTTTCAACTTCCATCATCTGCAAAACAAATGTCCTCTTATTTGACTGATAGGTGTCAGGTTGTGAAACATGGAAGCTCTGTGTCCGGGTCTCTGCCCTGTTCC